CTCGGCCTGTCCCTGTGGGCCCTTGTCACAAGCCCCTCCCCAACCTTCCTGTGGCCCCTCCAGGCACTGCCAGGCTGCTCGAGGGTCTCCCTGGAGCCTTCTCTTCTCCAGGCTGAAGGAGCCCAACTCTCTCAGCCTGCAGTAGCCTCCACGTATAGCTATTACCTCCCTGAAATACTTTAATCGATTCATCATCTCTTTAAGCCCTTAAAGCAAGAGCAGACGCCTTCCCAAGACTGCCAGTTTGGGGATGACCAAGCGCCGGGAAGAGGCCGCGCGAGTCGGACTGAAGGATGATGTCGGTCCCTTCTGGCATCAACAATTACTCAGACACGGCCTTCGGCTGGAAGAACAAGGAGCACAAAGGAAAGGGCCCACTCCTCTCTGTGCTATTCGCAGCTACCAGGAGCGCGAGGTTCAGGCGCTGTTACTCGACGGCAGCAGCGCCTGCTTCCACCTCTGCCTCCGGATTCCTTCCCGGGCTGATCCCGAGGATGTCAGTGACAGTTCTCCAAAACCCCGTACTCAGCAAGTGCCTCTCGTGACTTGCTAAGTCACATGTCCAGCTAAAATCAGGATTACTCAAGTTCACAGCCTAATTTTTACTATTTTCTAACATTTGAGAAAAAGATCTCATTTACATTTGCATAAATAAAATATGAGACAAAAATATAAAATTTATGAATAATGCATGAGATAGAATTATTTTAATAAGGAGCATCTAAATACACTCCATGAGCACAAGCAGAAGAGGCAGAGTCAGGAAAAAGAAGTTGCAGTTTGCTGTGATTAACTGAATCCACTTTTACTGCACACAGCCAACAGTTACTGAAAATCTAGATTGGATGTTTATTCCCTAACCCCGATCACAGCTCCTTTCTGATGGACTAGCTGGTCATTAATTCATGATTCACAGGTTAAAAAAAAGAAGGTTACCAGTAACGCTTGGAAAAATCAGCCCAGAGAAGAAACGGGATGTGACCTTCAGCAGAAAGGCAAGTCCTGCAAAACATCACTTGCGTTCAAAATATTTTTTCTTCTAAGCAATATAACGACTTCTAGAAAAGCTTTTTGAAAGTGCAAAGGCATTTTTCTTTACCTCCTGGAAGTGCCTGAAAACAGGCGAAGCGCGCACACAGAGAACACCAGGCAGGGCAGGGGAGGGCGATGGGTGAAGAAGCTAAAAACCGCCCAAGTGAAGTATGAGCCAAATTTCCTGTTGCCGTTTCGTGTAATCAAGGCAATCTGCTTAAATTCTAGCACTGGTGTCACAGAGGCTCTCGGGGAAGACCACGGGCAGCAATCTTCTGCCCCTCCAGCTCCACGTCCCTCTTCAAAAGTACCATGAAAGTCTAACAAAACCCTAATGACTCCTGACAAAACCTGAAGTTTCACGTTCTCTCCAGCCCAGCATTAAAGGTCTTGGGCTTCCTGGGGGAAACAACCAAGCTGGAGGCTCAGCTCTAAATTTAACGGGCTCAAAACCGACCCAGGCTTGGCAAGATGCCGCAGGCTCCACAGCCGGGGATGCAATCTGTGCTGAAAATCCAACACTTGTTTCCTCCCTTTTCCATCAAAATGGTGCCTTTTGGCCTGAGCTGGCTGCCTCTGGTTTCCATCTCATGTCCAATCTACAGGGAATGCTTTTAGGTTTGAAGTAAATATGGGAAGCAGTAAACATCCTAACATAAATTATTTACAACTACGTTACAAAGAGCAAAGGAAGAACACCAAGGGAATAGAGTAAACTTGAGAAATCAACACTTTCTGGTACACAACTCGTAATTAATATTATCTGGGAAACAACTCTCAACAAAAATACTCTTTGGAAGTTTCTCATCAATCTATTCCCTTAGTAATACTGGAGAAGTTAGCTCGGGATTTAAAAAAACCCAAACAAACACACCACAAAAAAGCCACAACAAATCCAACCACACTTTCAATGAAAAGACGTCTCCAACGCCTGCTGCAGGCTGCAGCCACGGGTTCTGCTGGAAGCGCCGAGCTCCGAAGGAAACACCTTCTGCCCAACGGAACCTAGAAAACCTGAAATACTACAAAAGCTTCTCGTGCAGACTGCGCACCAGTGCCATCTGTCACTCGATGGCATCTTTAGAACAACTCAACACACACCCCAAAGGACAGAAATCATCAGATTCCCCTCCCTGCCATCAGGAGGTGACCGGCTGCCGTCCAGTCATCTCCAAAGGTATCGAAACCGCTTCTCACAGAATCACAGAATAGTTTCAGCTGGAAGAGAACCTGAAGATCATCAAGTCCAGCCTTTGTCCCAGCCCTATCAACTCATCAAACTATGTCCCCCAATGCAGCATCCACCTGTCTGTTAAACCCCTCCAGGGATGTGACTCAGCCCCTCCCTGGGCAGGCTGTGCCAGCGCCTGACAGCCCTCTCAGTACAGAAATTCTTCCCAATATCCAACCTGACCCTCCCCTGGCGCAACTTCAGGCCATTTCCCGTCACCCTGTCACTCTCCACGAGGGAGAACAGACCAACCACCACCTCGCTACAACCTCCTTTCAAGCAGCTGCAGAGAGCGATGGTCTCCCCTCAGTCTCCTCTTCTCCAGCTGAACAGCCCCAGCTCCCTCGGCTGTTCCTCGTGCGACGTGTGTTCTAAGCCCCTCACCAGCTCGGTCGCCTGCCTCCGTACCCTCTCCAGCACCCAACTCTTCCAGCCGAGCTACCCAAGCCTAATAAAAGACAGTATCTCCACCTACAAACCCTGTCTGCAAAGTTTATCAACGTTTCCGAGCCACGAGGAGAGCTCACTGCAGGCACGGGTGACCGGACTTTGAGGAAAAGAGGCTGATACTGACCCCGGTGTATGGAGGGATCCGCAGGGACAGTAAATAGAGAGGAGATCTGCACCGTCCCCATCTAACTCCACCAATAAATGGAATGACTTTCTGAAGGACCGTGGAGGTGTAAGGATGGATCGAAAGTGCGCAGGCTTCCTTCATTCAGGAGTCGCCCAAATTTGGAGAATGAAGCCAGGGAGATTGCTGATGGCGCGCCGATCTCGGGTGAGACGCCCCAGCCAGCCTCTCGGCACCACCGGCTCTGCGCAAGCGGAGGCAACTCACGTTTCACTTAAGAAATCCGCAAGTGATATTTGACTCGGGAGCCAAACCCAGCAGGCCAGAGGACGCACGGGGTGCGTAAGCAGACCTCAGCACAGGTGGGAAGGCAAGCGGACAGTGCCCGTAGGGAACAAGGTGCCCGGTGCCAGACGAGCTGCTACGAGAGAGAACCGCCCCTCCTGTCAGAGGATTTGCTTCCCCGGTTTGAAGAAGAGCACCTTGATGACCTGAAACCCATCTTCATGGTGCAACACGTTCCCCAGTGGGCAATAAATGTCACTGATTAGCCAAGTGTGACGGAATCACAAAATCTTTTAGATTGGAACAGACCTTTGAGATCATCAAGTCCCCCCGTTACCCCAGCGCTGCAGCCCCACCAGTGACCCGTGTCCCTGGGCACCACAGCCACCCGGCTTTTGCATCCCTCCAGGGGTGGGGACGCCACCCCTGCCCTGGGCAGCCTGTGCCAGGGCTTCACAACCCTTTGCACGAAGAAATTTTCCCTAATGTCCCATCTAAACCCAACAGAGGAATGTTAAGATCTGTCTTTGTGGGATTTCTCTCAACTCCTGCCGTCACACCCGACCGTTCTTCAAATTCACTGTTCTGACACGCTCACTAGCACTGCCCCATCTTCAATTCGGGTGTGAGCCTTGGGCATCACGAACCCCAACCTCCTGCCCTCAGACAGCGCTACAAAGCCCAGAAGTCTCAACGGAGGAGGTGATGTTACAATTGAAAAGCAAAATGAAATGGTTGGCACGAATGTCAGTAGCTCAGCACGGGCTTGACGTGCCCAGTGTGTGTCCCTGGAGGGCTACCAGGAGTGACAACATCAGCAGCAACTCATTGAGCAACAGTTCCCTGGCAAGTACTTACGATTCCAGTGCTGCGAGAAGTGGATCAGGCTCAGGCATATCCTGGAGTTGGTTGCTCTGGTCTCTGCTCAATCTTATGATATCACACAGGGTCTGGGAAGCATTTGATTGCCTCTGCAAACAATGACACGGAGCAGGTTTCAGCGCCAACGCCCCTGCTCGGCTCATTCGCCGTCAGGGGACATTTAACCTCGCTGGGAATGCAAGAAACTGAATAAATCAGAATTTTTCAAGACAAGTGCTACTATGCTCTAGATTACTCGTCTGTTAAATACAACATTGATGCAAATTATTAGAACATTGATGCAAATTATTAGA